GTGGCCCCCCTTGGCTTGTTTCCAGCCTGGGGTCTGTTGAAAAAAGACCCACCCCCCCCCCCCCCCTCCACACACACACACACACACACACACCTCACCATACTGGAGAACTGGTTGCAAGATGGATGGACGTGTTTACACGGAAGTGGCTAACAAGCTGGCTTTCTAAACTGAGCTGTTTGACGAACGTTAAATGTCTTTTTTTGTTAATGTAAAACAGATCCCTGTGACCTCTGTTGGCCGTTAACAGAAGCTGTATGCGTGGTTTATTGAATTACGTTTGTTAGCAAACACGAACAGAAACAAAATCGATGACCAGCTGAGTGTAATTCGGTTTCTTTAAAAAGTAAACAAGGCCAGAAGATGATTGCATTTTTTGCCCGGGCTGCCGCACGCTTTCGGTGTGGCGTCACGCCAGGAGACCGTGATTTATGCCAGAATGAGAGGAAGCAGGAAAAACTGCCCATCAAACAAGCAATTGTTTTAACAGACTTCGGTGTTTTCATGGGTGTCTAAGGGGCCCTGTTATGTTGTCAGTCGCTCTATGCTTCTGTGGGTTACGCGCTGTCAGGCAAGTTGAGATTTATGGTTAATCTGCTTGGTTGTGTTTGTCTATGCACCTCACCTGTTTCAGGCTGATGTCCAGGGACTGAAACAAGTGGGCACTTGTGTGCCTGTTTATCACCTGTTTGCCTGGTGTGTTGTTTTTAAAAAAAATGTGTGTTTTTTTTTCGCCTGAGTTTAAAAACTTCTTATGAATGGAATATGTGCTCAGCCAACATCTTTGCTTGGGGTCTGATTTTCAGAATGATAAACACTCACTAGGTGACAGAAGTCATTTATGAGTTGTTAGTATTCATTTCATCTTCTACATTAACATAAAATATGAAATTATCTCATCACATTCCCTTTTGTGCACTGATTGTAATGCAGTGACCTTTATGACCATCTTTTTTTAAAGCAGTGACCGGTGACAACGCCTGTGTCATTCAGCTTGCTGTTCCCCTCTCTGGATACTCTGGATGCCTTTTTGCTGCAATTATGAAGCGTGTTGAGAGTCTCGTTATCTCTGTGATGGCGTCTTTCGACACCACCAGACAAGGGCGCTGTCAGAGCTGATGACGGGCACATTGTCACCTGTGACCTTCGTAGCTCTCCGTTTCGTGTAGCGAGTGCCTTTCCTGTCAGGGACCTGAACCAATAACCTTTTTGGCCACTGGCACTTTCAGAATCAGAATCAGAATCAGAATACCTTTTTATCCCAGAGGAAATTGCTTGTAATTACAGACTGCACAGTACACAACACAAAAGGATAAGAATAGACAGTCCACAGCTGTACATATGACAATTTCTAACTAAGAATAAATACATTGGAAAATTGGGGACAGTAATAAGTAGGTGAATATAACCATAAATACAGTACTATGGTGAAACATGTACAAAATTTACAAATAAAATACCACACGTAGAAAGATAATTAAATAGATATTGATTAAAATAGGAGGTATTGCACATGTACCCTGAGTGATTTAGCGGTTGAACCATCCCTGGGGTTTTTCTCAAAACTTTCTGAGCTTAATATGTGCTGTACTTGCCCGTCCAGTGTCAGGGAGTGGCATACCTGTCAGCATTGCTGTGGTGGTGCCATGTGGATGGAACGGCGTGTGTAAATGTGTTGTGGGTCCTCCCTGTAATGAGGACACTAGCTGTCCCTCAGGTCTCCAATGGCTCTGTGTTGCAGGTGCTGTAATTCTGCGGAGAACAATGATCGCGGCCCGCTGTCACTTTGGGCTCGTCCTGATGGGCTGCCTGATGAGGGCCACCTCTTCCCTCAACCAAGACGATCCCAACGTCTGCAGCCACTGGGAAAGGTGGGGACCTGGGAATTCTTCAGAAGGGATCATCTGCTGTTTTTTTCCCATTCCGTTTCTTTCAGGTTGCAAGTCCTACATATGTTAGTGGCCAAAACTGTGGAAATACCTAGCATTTTTGGCAGTACGCTTTAAAAATTCCTACCGGAATATTGCCGGTGATGTCTATAAACAATCAAAGATTGTTTACAAATATCATACAGTGGATGATTATATACTGTACGTAACTGCGGTAACTGGAATAAAGTTCTGCAATCTCTAAAAATTGGAAGTGTTTCCACATTTTGGCCACTGGTTTAGAACACAGCTTTACTATGCATGTAAATACAAGGCTGACTTAGAGATCTGTAATCCTACTAACACTGGCCAACTCAGCCTGCAACTGCCATCTTAGTCCTATTGCTGTTGCATGCTACAGTACACTTATGGATTTTAATGCACATTTCTTTTTAATGGTGTTTACACATCGGTCAGATTGTGTTAAGACACTTATTTACACAAGAAGCAGAACATATGCCGCCCCAGTTCAGACCCCTGTATTGTAAAGTTTCTTCAGTTGAGCTGTTGGCTGTAGATTGTGGTAGTGAAATATGGACATAAACACAGTAGTTTCTTGCAGCTCATTGTGGGTATTTTGAAATCCCTGAAGCTGCCACTCGGAAAACATACAAAGTTTTAATCTGCAAAATATTTCCTGTACTAAATAAAGGCACAGCTAGAAAATCCATTAAAGCGCTTTCAGAAGAACAAAGCGGGGGCTGCTTTCCCAGCTAGATTCACTTTCAGCAGATAATGTGTGAAAACAGCTGCGGCTCTTAACGGGCCGTGGAGGGGGCGGGGGTCTCGGCGCGGTGGGAGGGGGGGGCGGAGGCTCTGTGTGGCAGCTCCGTACCTGCCCGTCGTGGAGACCCCGCCCCCTCGCATCCTGACATTTCAATCGGGTTCACGCACAACAACTGCTACAGTTGGTGTGTTTACATCATTAGTCCGATATCCCCACCCCCCCCCACCTCAACCCCCCCCCCAACCTCCACTTTCCCTTACTACTGTTTTTCCTGACAACTGAGAAGCTGCACCTCTATCGGAAAACCAAACATTTGTGTTTTCCAAGTTAGACCTGAAACTATTCAATGACTTCATTAAATTGCCATAGCAATCAGAGATGTAGCACTTCTCAATATTTTTAAAAGCAATTCCAGCTGTCTTTTTAGAAGAACTTTCTTAATCTAATTTTAATTCTAGCTGCTGAAAATTCACTGCAAAATAATTACTGATATAAACTTCTTGTGACCTTTAGATGGTATGTAAACTGTAAACCAGGGCAAGACGAATACTCATAAACACCAATTGTGATGAAGGGTTTAAAAAAAAAAAGTACTTGATCTTTAATCCCCTCGATGGCGCCCTAGCGGCCGGCATGTCAAGCCACTTAAGGGTCCCATCATTAGGCCCTTGTGGCTGAGTGAATCATGAGTGAATGGCTTACGGCCCAGCCCACCCTGATCCCCCCCCGCTTCTCCTTTTCCAGCTACTCCGTGACGGTGCAGGAGTCCTACGCCCACCCCTTCGACCAAATTTATTACACCAGTTGCACGGACATCCTCAACTGGTTCAAGTGCACGCGGCACAGGTAAGAGAACCGGCAAACATGGCGGGGAGGAGGGCTTGGGGTTCAGAAAACACGGTCACCCTAGAAACACACACAAGACACGCACATCTAGAGGTTAGAGCAAAACTTGGGTGTCCATGCCATCCATAGCATTTTTCATGGGGTTAAGGACTTTGCTCCAGGGCTCAGCGGAGATGTGGCTACGCTTCTAAGCACGAGATTTGAACCAGCAACCTTCTGACCACAGGCACTGTGGCCTAACCTGCTGAAGCACACGTCAGTGGACCACCTCGTCCACGAAGTAATGCACTGAATTTCAGAAGTAGATTCTGAGTTCTGCATAGCTGAAACTAGCCTCTTGTTTCACTCTGTCTGTTGATGTGTGACTGTCTAGGGTGAGCTACAGGGCGGCATATCGCCGGGGAGAGAAGACCATGTACCGCCGGAAGTCCCAGTGCTGCCCCGGCTTCTATGAGAACCTGGAGATGTGTGTCCGTGAGTATCCTTGTCGCGGTGTGCACACAGACCCTGGATGTTTTATGTCACCTCCTCGATGGAGGATATCACCCTATGCAGTGACCATCTTTAAAAGTCTGTTCGATATTATTTCTGTGTTGTGCTGGGAGTGGTTGGGAGTGGTCTTCCCAGAACGCATTGTGTCAATGAGGACAGTGCCCCGTTCACCCATTAGAGATGATGTGGGCCTGCGTGAGTCACATGACCACGTTTTGGTGATTGCCGAGAGCAGGTGCCGGGGGTCCCAATGGGTGTGGAGCTCACACTAGGTTCCAGTGTTGAGGAACAGGTGTGCTGCAGACTGATAGCAGAAGATCCCGACCCAGAGTCCGGTTCCTCAGTGGGGCTTATTGTTCGAGGCAGAACACATGCAGTTCTCACATTTGTTTGTGGATCACTCCCAACCAAAACAATCCTTCAATTCAACTAAAAAACAGCTTGCGTCAGGTCATCTGTATTTACTATTACCAGCAAGTTATTGGTTGTCACGATAAATTCACTGGCCTGAACTTATCTTTAGGCCTACCCCTTAGTATAAAGTGCTAAATAATTTGTTGTTCAATGAAACGGATGTGTTCATTGAAGGATTGAGAGCACTCCTTATCTCTGATTAATCGACTTTTATATGAGTGGTTGTGAAACCACTTGGATACAACAATTCTTTCTTTAGCTCCTTTGAAGGCCCTGTCTTGAGCTCCCATCACGAGTCTTCTGCGTATTTCCAATTTCTTCCAAGCTAACAGAAGCGCTGTCTGATATTTTTGCCTTATCTTAAATGTCAGCCACCTAACCATGAAATATGATGAGTTGTGCCCCCTGTAAATTTCAGATCAGTTTGGTGAATGGTGTATTTTGATTTTGAAACCTTTCCCTTTGTGTGCTGAGGGTAGGGGTAAAGGAGGGGCGGGGGACAGTATGACTGCTCACGAGATGATGTCCTTAAAAATCCAAATTTTAAAATGTTTGCTCCTAGGTAGACTTTAAAGTGCACCATAAGGTTGCTGGTTTAGATCCTTAAACCTTTGACAAAACTATGTTTTAAGCAGAATTATAGATGCGGATGGTATAGCATCCCGTTAATCCATAACTCTTTGGTCAAGATATTGGGCGCCAATAGAGAACATGAACGAGGCGGCTTGGTTAGGTGCCGAGCAAATATGTCTTAGTTAATAATTACCACCTAGATCATAAAATAATATTACCATGTGGAAATTCCCCCCATTGTGTTTTACTGTTTTGCTCTTAAACAACAGGCATTTGGTTGATTCACACTTAACCCATTTCAAGGGAGGG